GAATGCCTCATTATCACGCGTGATATAGGGCAGTATATAAAACTGCTTTTCTGATGTGAGGGGCACATTATACTTCCACGTGATTTCTGTGCGGTTGGTCTCTACGTGACATACTTAGTGGAGACCTCATAGAAAGCGGTGAGTGTGCAAAGCTGTGTTCAAAGTGATTGAAATCTTGGTTTGGGGTTTCTTTGTTTGGTTATGGAGGCGTCTGGCCGAGTGAGTTGCTATCAACTTGACCTTTCCAGGCTCTGAAGAAGGCGAAATTCGCCGAAACGTCAGCTTAATCGTGAACAAAGAACAATAACACCTCGCGTTTGCTCAAAAAAAAATACGAACAAAATCACTTGATCAATGCCGAGGTTAATAGAAAGTCGGTCGTGGCAGTTACTTCTGCGATAAATTTTCATGCTTTTCATTTGTCATGTTGTCTAAAGAGCTCTCGTTTATCAATATGGATAAATAACCGTTCGAACTTTAATTCTTGTTATTTTATCAGATGGCATCGATAACTATTCGTTCAATCCTTTTTTGTGGCAGTATTGGAGCGTATGCTTCTTCTTTTTCAAAAGGTTTTCAGCTATGATTAGCAAACGCGGTAAGCATATTTTTTGGCGAAAAATACGCTCGGCATGGACCCCAAGACCCTCCATCAGTATATCATAGTGCACCTTCAAATAACCAGACTCGCACTTGCACCAATCATACCTGAATAAATCAATCACAAAAACTGACTCTTCGCACATGTCTTCCTTTCTTCTTTTCGTACGATTACTGCATTTCTTTTACATTTTGTGATCAAAGCAACTCTCAGCGTCAGGAAAACGATGATCGGTGCAAAAATGTAGAACGAAGTAAACGATAGGTTTCGTATTCTTTGAAGTAGTCCATTTGTCCATAAAATTCCTTAAAATCCAGTGATGCCATTGCTCGAACATGTTGGCTGAGCTAGTCCACCTCCCTACACCTGCAGCACAGAGGTAGTCGTGTTATGGCGCTCCTGAGTCTTCACAACAGGCATTCGAAAACCTTTACAAATGTGAGGATTACCTCAAAATTTTGACACAGGATGTATCAGTGAGCAACTACAATCAAGAAATCGACAAGAAGCAGTAAAAGCTACAATGCCTGCAACGTGCACTGGTGTATAGAAAAAGGCTAACTTCGTTGCAAGACCAATCGTGGCACAGTGACCACTGTGATGGTCTGAGATTCTCCGATTGTGAAATCTGTGCTTTCCAGAATGCTCACGGAAGCCAACCCAGTAGTACCTTTTCAACCACTTCGACAACTAATCTTCAAAAATTCACGACCCACCCAGCCCTTGCTGATAGTGCTTTTTTGAGTGTCGTGTGATATAAAAGCCTAGGATTCTGCCATGATGGGAAAATAAACTTGTATTTTGTTAGCAGAATGTAAATCCTAATGGCTTTTACTAATATTAATAAAGTATGTTATAAGATGAGAAATGTGCAACCTGAAATTCGCTCAAATCCTCAAATTTAGAAGCTGTAAGTTCTTCTAAAATTGTACGAGAAAAAGCAACCTTCAAGTAACCGCCAGCTGATAACTGGATCGTAAACGAAGGCCTCCAGAACGGCCAACAAACTATCACGGTTTGCTCGCAATAACCGCAACACGCGTTCACAAGTAAATCGATAATTTCCTTCAATACCAGTTACTTCCATAGCCTGAAATCTCGATTTGCGTTCATGTATTTACTTCGGTTCAAGAACATCCATCTTTCTACTGTGATTTGCTCTCACATATCGACTTAAACGGGTCTCCGAGTATTTCACAGTGATTTTTTTTCTTGCCTTTGATTCATTTCAAGAGATATATCAACATTTACTTAAGATTAACTCACTTTGACAAGCATACGAGTAAGTCGAAAAGGTATTTTCTCCGGGAACTTTTCCCTTGTCATAGCCACATCGAAACAATCACCAAAATCGATATGCACAATTTTACCCGTCAAACGATCCAACATAAGATTTGATGGATGTCTATAACAAACATAATCTAGTTGTTATATCCAAACGATTCACTTCAACTTTCAGTGATACACAATTAAAACTCAGAATCTACGCCCGTTTATTGACTTCTGGAAGATGAGTTCACCTATCGCCTAATCCTAAGATGTATCCCACCATCGACATGCATGCCATGGATCTTGTATAGTTTGTTCGACGATCGAACCACACTTCAGAGCTTAAAGGAAGATTCGTTTTCAAAACCGCTAATAGTGATCGTGAATTCCTAATATAAGAGTGCGTCCACTCAGAATAAAAGATAATATACAAATCACGTTACCTTGGGCTTTTCAGCCAAAGTATCTGTTGCAAATCGTCACCTGTCGTTGATGTCAGCGCCCGTTCGAACAGTTGGACCTGAAATTTGTATGGAAATACCTCTGAAAAATTGCATTTTCTAACATTGACAGAATAATAAGACTTAACCGTTTATAAACAAAGTTTTTTCACAAATTTGTAAAACTTGCCCAGCTCGAGCAACAACATTACAAAAGTATCCAAAATGAGAATGCTTAATCTCCTTTGCAGAAATTCACCAGGGTCACGCTGAAGCCAGTGAAACCACAAACATTATGGTTCCTCGAGCATTCATTGTCTTGCAACGGTGGTGTTCCTTGGCATTATGCTAGGATTCCTGGTTATGTCTAGTAATTGCTACAACTACGCAGCCGGAAAATTTCTCTAAAAACCCAGCAACTAGTGCGCACTGACTACCAATCACAATGGATGAAAAGGTAAATTATATTCCAGACTTGAAATGAAGAAGAAATGATGAGCCTACGACCTTGATATGAAAAATATACACTTGAAAAAATAAAAACCCTTGTGAGGATCTTCCGAAACTATATAGTAACTATTCTCTGAATAATGTACTACTTTTTATCTACTGCCCATTATTTTTTTAATGGCGGGGCATTATGTGAACACAACCACAATGATGCTGAGATCTTTGCAAAACTTGGACCCCAGGCCAGGTCGAACAGCGATTACCGTTTCCTGGATCTATTTCCTTGTTCTAATTCTATGAATTGGAAACTCACAACACGACACTTTCACTTAAAGTTAAAAGAGCTAGCTACATTAGCCCATATAAGCTTTGAAATCGATAGATATAGGAGCGAATTTGTTAAATAATACACTAATTCTAGTCAGCTGACATTGTTGATCACCCCAGCAACCATTCTCAAAGATTACCTTCTAACAAACCGCATTGACAGGCAGCTTCACAGCTACCTACAACGGTGAATTTAACGTGAGTGGCCCAGAAACTTGTTTATACTTTGGAGAATGTACTGCAATTTACCTTTTGCATCAGTGTGACCTGTTCAGTATCCTGTGCAAGAGACTGCATCACCTTGTGCTCAAGAGACAAAGAGATCTGAGATAGCCACCAAATCACGTTTGTCACATACAACTGTTTATGTTAAACGAAATTAAAAACTTAGTAAAAAACAAAGAAGATATATCAAACCTTTTTTTTATCTCTGTAGTCCCGAATAAGTGAATGTAGTGTGTCACAATCCGGCACCCACCCAATGAGACCGGAATTATGGCTCAGAGCAACAATTGAATACCTCTGCACCAAAAGTAAAACAAATCTCGTTTAAAAGCAACCCAAAAATTTTGTTACGGCAAACCACCCAAGAGGGGAACGGTACGACCGGAGATTCTCATACATGCTATACAAGCCGGAATAATTCTATTTGCTAGTATCGTGTAAAGCAGACAATAATGTTTTCAGTCAGAACTTCAAAAATGCTCTCTGCCAACTTACAGACTTCGCTAGTAAGAATGGCTGTTTTTTGAATTCAGATATCAGCGAGTTTAGAAACTAACAAAATAACGGTTATACTAAGTTCGAACTATCACTTCCGTAACCTTTTAATTCAACGGAAGTGCACACATTAAATAAACATAAAAAAGGATAAAGTTTTCGGCGTTGATCAATCCCTGAGGAATGCGCGATGCATTCGACTTCATTAAGCATAGATACAGCTGATCGAATGCATATTTGCCCTTTACAATGACTTGCTGTGGCCTACCGATGTATCGACCCAGTACTGCTTTCCTCCCAGACAATATAGGACCAATTTTCCAACCCCGGAGGGATGAAGCGCATGATGAACCTAGGTGGTGGGGAACGACCTCATGTGTATTGCAGGGTGCCTCCGACCACAGTGTCACACGTGCCCATTATATAAACATTAAAACCATTAAGTAAACATGAAACCCAAAAATCACCTGTATCGTGAGATTCCTTCTGCATGTCTCTGCATTATTGACTAATAAAGTGTTGATAAGGCCAAATAACTGCATCACACGTTCATCTTGACGAGGATCTTCGTGACCCTTTAAAAGGAAAGCATACTCTCGCCCGTTGCTGCCTAAATACTAATTAAAAAAACCGATCTTCTAAAGCAGGTCTGAACGAAGACTTACTACGTTAAGTAAAGCAAATATACTTGCGGTACCCAACAACGTACCTCTTATAGTCATTTTTCTCGGCCTCTGTTTGCTGCTAATCACTTGTAGATGGGTTCCAATAGAGGCAATACCAACAACGGGTTGAGAGGGATCGTATGTTCCAGGAACAGCAAGCTCAAGATCCTTCAAGAGAAAAGAAGTAATTTCGAAAATATGTATACAGAGATAGGGCGGCCTAAGCTGAAATTCTTCTGATGAAAATGAAACACAGGAAGTTTAGCGTAAAAACAAAACAAACATGCCACAGCTCACACGTACCAATCCAGTTATTGTTAGATTTCAAATATAAGCTTCCCACTCATTTCTCCTTTTTTATTTCATGTCTGCCTGCCCTTAGCTTGTGATCTCTTTTTCTGACACTCCAATAAAGAAAAAAAGTTTAACCGGTAACGTACCAACCAAAAAGAAATTGTATTGAGGCACGTAAGACTCACTGTGAAAACTAGTGATTCAAGGCTTAACTATGAAGTATGTAGCAAATTAAGCATTTCCTTTACCAACAAAAGAAAGTGCAACATTAAGCACGAAAAAGAACTCAAAATTGTTAGATAACGCTGTTTGGAAACCCGTAAGAGATTTTTAATGTGTACGCAACCAATAAAACTCATATAACAAAATAACGTCATACTTGAAAACTGAACAAGAATAGAGGACTCCATAAACATCTCAGAAATAAAATGCTTCCCAGTCGGGCTTCTAACAGCAAATTCGATTCTAATGACTAGCGAAATGATGTTACAGCAAACACTCTCTACCTTGGAGAGGGCTCCTTATTTAACTCTTGTATACAGAGCACAGAGTTAGCACTATTCAGTCTCGTAATGTAACCTATTATATTTCCAATACATACTCATAACAACCGGGCAAGATAGCATCGTGTGATACCGAGCTTGCAACCTCGGATACTGGTTGCACAGCCTACATCATCCTATTTCATTATCTCATTCAATAGAAAACAGCTGTCGAGATATCTATTCACATAAATTGCATTCGTATTTATATTCTATAAAGGATAAAGGATAAAGCTCTCAGCCTTGACCAATCCCTGACGGATGCGCTATGCATTCGACTTCATTAATCATCGTATGGAGGTAATTGAATGCATATCTGACCTTTACAATAACTCAAGGTGGCCCACCGATGTATCGAGCCAGTTATGCTATCCTCCCAGACAAGGCTGCTGCCGATTTGCCAATTCTGGAGAGATGGAAGGCTTGATGGACCAGGGAGGGAGGATCGATCCCATGTGTGTTGCAGGGCGCCTCTGACCACTACGCCACACGTGCTCTTATTTAAATTCTATATTCAAAAAAATAGTGGACAATTCACTGCGCTATTAATATGCTCCTGTTAACTTGGTTAGTACACTGTTTACATTGGTCCCAGGTCTCTGCTACTTTATCTCACGAGTAGACATTAATTATTGAGCTCCCTATCTCCTCGCAGTACAACATGAATTTGCTTTAATAGGCTCTATGTTGTTATAAAAGCACTTTTTTTTACTTACCTGCCTAATGAGTACGCCACTGCACATACTGTGCATACAGTTATTTACTTTGTCGTGTTAATATTACTTATGAAAGTTTAATTCCCTAAGTATGAAATTACGAAGTTCAGTACCCATAAAAATCACGCCTAGCATGCCGGAAAAAGAAAAGATACTAACACGTGAAAGAACCAACGCAATTATTTCACCTTTGCTTTCATTAACATCGGGCTAATATAATTCAAATCCAGCGAAGTTAACTGCCGTAACTGAGTAGTGATCTTTTTGAAAACCTAAAACTAACATTATTATGGTCAATAAGCAGTCTTGACAAGAAAGTAAATTAGCTTAATGATTCGACAACTGACCTGACAGTAGATCTCCCATGCCTGTGTGAGCTCTTTGACGTTTTCGGTACGCTTGAACGCTTGGCAGAATTTATATGCATCAGATAATTCGCAATAATAAGTCTAATAATGCAGAAATTAACACACATTGAATTACGGCCCAACGGAGAGAAAGGTAATACACACAAGTCCCCCATTTATTTTGCCATTTCACAAACATTTCGAACAGATTAATGGTCAATAAGTTCAAGCCGCTCCTATTAATGCTATCCGGCCTTGTGAGAAGCTTAGAGCATTTTGAAATGTTAACACTGTGCTACAGTTCACAGCGAGTTTAGGATAATAGCATTTGGGAAAGTTTTAAAAAAAGCTCTCGGCGTTGATCAATCCATGAGGGATGCGCCATGCATTCGAGTTCATTAGGCATCGTTGTCAGAGGTGATTGAATACATATCTGGCCTTTACAATGACTCGCGGTGGCCTACCGATGTATCGTGCCAGTGCTACTATCCTCCTAGACAAGTCTGGATATCAATTCGCCGATTCGCCGACCACGGAGCGATGGAAGGCTTGGAGGGCCAGGGGCGCGGAGATCGATCCCATGTGTGTGTCGTTAGGCGCCTCTTACCACTGTGGCACAGGTGCATTTCGGAAACACTAGAACAAATACTCGCTCACTTGATTGAACGACTGTTCTTTAAGTGTTGTTGGCCCTTTTTCAATCATTTTGTGGACTGGTTCAAGTGTTTCCATCATTGCCGCTGTATTTTTTTCCTGAAATGAACAAAATTTCATATATGGAGAAGGAAAATAATGTAAGTAATAAACAATACAGTTGGGCTAAATGGATACAAAGTTCTGCTAATTCGTTATTATTCGTGCAGCTGCTGTTTTCCTTTTTCAAAATTTAAATTCAATTTAAGGACTTGGGGACCTCACAGATTTGTATAAATCTTTTTACGATATCGGTGTAAATGTGTACATGTTTGTCTTAAAATATTAACGTTCAGTACGTCTTGAAATAAAATTTGAGAATTCAGCTACACATAGTGATGAAGCATACGCAAACATTCTTGTGTTCTGCCGAAGGAAATCCCGTTATACTATCGTGTTTTATCGAATGAAATTTCGTTAAGTTCCCGTTGAAAGTTATATGTGACTGGAACTTACTTGAAAATACTGTCGACTTGCTTCGTCCAGAGCATCGTGCCACTGTTCGTGCCATAAAATCGCACATCGAACTAGTTCCTCAGACACCATACTCGCCTAAAATATGTCCAGTATATTCAGCATTCACACTAAATTAAAACAAAAACAATTTGAGATATGATGAAAACAGATTTAAGCGGATACGGAACTAAGAAGGCCTAAGTTCAAGTGTTCACTAAGCACTCTAGTTAAAAGAGCAATAGGTGAGAACCAAAATATTACCGTGGTGTGAAACCACTCATATGTTTAAGGATAGGGTTCTTTGATTGTGAGAAAATACCTCCTCAACCAATTTCGGATGCATTTCGGCCATGGCCGCCAGCATTTCCTGGGCGTTCTTCTGGCGATCAATGTTCGTTGACTTTGCAGCTACCGTTAATGCGTACACTAATGCCTAAAAATTACCCAGTGCAGCTACTTACTTCGTTTAAGTTTCCAAATTTTTATGTTTAAGAATCTGTAGCTTCAGATCTTCTTATAACTACGAGCGGCAATATCCGACCTGTGGTTTCATTTTGGAAATTTCGAGGATCACTTGCTTTATTAGCGAGGCCATTCTGTCTCGAGAGTCCAAGCGAGCCATGAGCTGTGGTACTGCCTTTAAAAAACATTTTTGACAACATCATCACATAGGAGGCAGTGCGCACCTCTAGCCATGTTTCAATAGGAAGTCCTTTCATATTCTCACTGAGTTGCTTGTACACTTCGTTATACTCCCCATAGTCGAACCACAACTGCAGCAAACGTAGTGTATCTTCCAGGCGAGAACCTGCAAGTTTCTTTCTATTATGACAAATTGCGCAATCATTACTGCCTCTACTTACCTGGAGCCAACTGTAGAGCTCTTGTAAAGCACTTAACTGCTGATACCGCATAACCAATGTTCACTGGAACAACAGGTGGCGGTGGAGTCACTAATGAGGTATTGTGCAACGGCATGGGACTGAGTTGTGGTGGCATCAACTGGACTATTGGACACGGAGGGGCACCAGGAGGTGGAAGTGCACTAACGGGAAGGAGTGGAACTAGAACAAGACTAGAATACAGTAAATAATGTAGCGAATATGATTTTCTTGGTGATTACGCAGAATAAGCAATCGTAATCATATGCACAGTAAAACAGCACTAAGTCATAAACTAAGTGGAAAAAAACGGATGAAACCACCTGTAGTATTCACTGGTACTGGAATTAAAGATGCGGCCACCTGCGCTGACTGTCCAGTGGCACCCACTGGTGGAATCATACCCAGCGGTTGTTGAATAGGTGGCGGAGGAGTGGGATGAATGAGACGAGTGTGTGGAGCTCGTACTGCAGCAGCTGCTGCTGCTTGAGATAGTTCCTTGTCTCGGGACAAAGCAGTGAAGTATGCAGATGCGAGTTTGTGCCAAGCCTGAACTTGTAAACGCGCATGTAAAAACGATGAACACCAAATCTATGGCGTAATATTTACAATAACAATTTAAGTCTTAGTGAAATTAAGCAAAAACAAAAGCATCCTGCTGAAAAATAATAGGTTTAATAATAGGTTTTCCTGGGAGGGGTGTACCAGAACGGACAGTGATGCAGTTCCACAAAAAAGCAAAGCGTGTTCTCCAATCCATGTGCTTCATTGGTTCACTGAACATGGGGAAAAACATGAAGGACGATTTAGACAGAATTAGAGCAGCATGGGTGTCATTCGGGCCACTGAAAGAAGCCGCCGACGAACTAACGCAGCCGAAACACCCGGCCCACGTTTTCGATTCAAGAGTACTCCCAGCGCTTGGTTATGCTGTAGAAACGTGGACTAGTACCGAATCCACGTCAAAAACACAGTGTACCATGCACAGAACGCTTGAACGACGTCTTCTGAAATTTAATCTGCCAATACAGCGTTTACCCGTAATGCGAGACTCTGATCTTTGAAATTTATCTCATATTCGAGAACCAGGAGTACACACATCGATAATAAACCACAAATCAATCGGTCACATAATAAAATGAGTAGATGACAGATGTAAGAAAACAGCAATGGGATAGACTCTAAGATAACGCAAGAGTCCTCTTGGAATACCATTCAAACGATGAGCGAACGTGTTCGCTGCTAACGTGAACCATCTGCATCTGCGCATGGAAACTTTCTTGGGAATTTGGAGTGGACCTCGCGGACGTTACCATGTTCCAAGCAAACCATGAACCTCCACCATGGAAGACGACTGAGCGAGTGAGAAACAAATGAAAATTTTGCTGCAGTCCGCACAATTAGCGAAGACGGCCCGTCGAAGTATCCAGGTAAGTAATTAATAATGGTAATATTAGTAATAATAATGATAGTAATAGTAACAACAATAATAATAATAACAAGAGTAGTGGTAATAATAATAATGACAGTAATAGTTATAACGATGACCAGTAGTGAAGTTAACTGCTGTTCTGCTACTAATTGAAGTCAAAAACTTCACCCCTTGAACAAATAAAAATGAAAATTCAGGGAGTAACGAAGTTTCTCTGCGAAATTACCAAACTAACCTTATGCCAGTCCCTATCGTACTCGGTGGATCGTGCGTAGTGTCGAATGACCTGTTCGGTCGCACACTGTTCGTCATTAATTGACCCACCAAACAATGAACGATGCGAACCGGACGACGACATAGCTCCAGTTGTCGTTGAAGTACTTTCAGCAAGTACTCCCGTCCATTCACCCAATTTCAAACATGCCTAAATTAGCATAAATAAATGTCTCCAAATATTTCCAAATTATGGACGTCTGTCCCCCCAACGATTTACTGCCTCTTCGTGCTGAGAAGTATTCCTGAGCGTCGGACTGCGATGTACAGCGGGGCAATCATTCCCCAAAAAAGCATCCCAGACTGAGTCCGAGGTTTCCATCAGAAAGCCCGGTTAAGAGTGAACCAATACCGGGATCCCCCACCATTCTGGTATCAAAGTAGTCGCATAGTGGCAAATCTCCCTTTGATCCATAAAGGCGGCTACTACCTCTGGTGGTGATGATCCGTAGCAGACTCGATAGGCTGACCTCGAAACTCCAGGGAATAGCAATAGTTGAACCAGCAAAACTCAGGAAAAATTGGAAATTATGGTGGAGCCCGCACAACCAGTGAAGAAGAGTCATCCAAGTATTCAAGTAAGTACAAATATTTGTGGAGAATATAGACTATGAGGAAGCACGCAATCAGATCTACTTTTTGAAGAGGTAGAAAGCGCACATTTGATTATTCAAAAGTATAAGTTCAGCACAATACTTTACGAATACGCCAAAAAGCACCTTTGCACATAATCGAGCAGCTTCTGGAGTATGATTAGGAGGAAGTCGATCCAAATGGTTAACAAGGGCTTCCAATGTACGTACCGCTTCATTTCGATAATCGTCCATCCACAGTTGCTTGCACAATGCTAGCACCTAGGACACATTCCATCCGACAGTTTATTGCATCGGTACGAAAAACCGTTGATCATTATTACCGTGCTTCTTAGTATCCAGGGACTTACCAACTGAGGTTTATCGTATGGTGCAACCGCTTTGTGCAACGGAGCACCTGGATCAAGTCCGAGGAGTTCACGAAGGACATCCCGACACATTACGTGTTTCCCATGTTTACGGCACAACGACGAGAACTTTACGCGCAAAGGGTGCATCTCCTGAGGCGTCAGTACTAATGACCTTAAACATAAATTAGGCTGACATATAGGGATAACTACTATTGCTGCAGCTTGCCTTAACATAAGCAATCGTTGCCATTGTTCAATGTTTTGTCGACAACCTTGAAGACGGCGACTCCATAACAAAGCAATTCGTGCTTGCCTTTCCGGTCGAATCTAAAAAACTCAAGACTGCTTTGGCATAATCTCCACATAGGATCACATAGTGAACTGCCTTAAACTCGATAGCCTCCTCTAGTTCGGCCAGTTGCTGTACGCAGACCATTGCCCCGTAAGCACGTTCGTAACTCTCGCTAGCCATAGCAGTTAGTTCGCTATCGTACATATCTCGAACCTAGAAGTAATAATGGATTGATTATAAGATCATTTTGAAGGCTAAATCACATAAAATCAAGTACCATTTCAGGTTTCTAGCTACAGAATAATGGTAAGATCCAAATTATCCACTTAATTATTACTTCTCCAGAAACACCTATGACAAACACACCTTGTCGATATAATTAATCGCCACATCATATTGGTCGTTCTTTACGGCCAGGACAGCGCGAAGCATCGCACCATCTTGAGTATTTTCGTTAACCTGTGAGACATAGTCTTTCATTGCTTCCCATTCGCCTATAAATGAACATTCTTAGTGTATTGCCGAGCAAAATTTGCACATTTTGCGATTTATTAAAAAAAAAGTTGGTAGAAAAAAGACAGAGCTCTCAGCGTTTATTCCAGAAAGATGCGCCTTGTATTCGACTTCAACAAACATGGTTAGAGGTGACTGAATAAATATCTGGCCTATACAAGAACTTTCGGATACTCGGAATACAATGCATCGAGCCAATGCTCCTATCCTCCCAGACCACTTTGGTACCGATTTGCCGACTTTGGAGTGATGGAAGGTTTGGTGAGTTTGGTGCACGGGATTGAACCCATGTGTACTGCACGGCAGCATTAACCACTGGCGCTACATGCGCTCCAATAACTGGAGTAGTGATAACAATTAAACCTAGTTAAAAATCAGTCAACTTTAACTCGTGGAACAGCAACATAAGTAGAATAAAAATGGCGTTTTTGCATATCAACATGTTTACAGAACAACCAATGGAAGCGACCATGTCAGCAAAAACATGAATCTCATATGAATCACATGACGCCACAAATAACATTCATTCCTTACTTTTTAACCAAATACATCATCCCTCCCCCGTAAAGCTTCTTGACCGAACGAAACGCAACAAAACTATCCTTGTTCTAGCATGATAAGGTTGATGGTGTCCTTAATTTATCGTCAATGTTTGTGGCCTCCACGCCTCTGTTGAAAGTTTCAAAGTCATGACTTTTTCATTTGATCAGGAAACGAATCCTAAGCAAATTTAGAACCAAAGCAATCTAGACCAAGTGTTTAGGATCTAATAGCAATGAGCTAAAGTCAATCTCTTCTACAAGTGAACCAAATTTGCGAAACCTAAAATGTATTTCTCATGCAAAAATATCAGCAGTTCTCGAAAAATCAATGTTGTGGGAAACGTATTAAGAATTTAAAGACAATTTGTCTTTTTACATCAATCCATAATCTAGGACAATTCATGTAGTTTGCTGAAACACTGTTAAGACGATCATATCACAGATTTTAAAAAGCTACAGTCTAAAAATCCACATTTAAAACTGACTAAGCCAGATAACCTGTCTTCACATGAAGTGCAGGTACTTCTCTCATTCATTTCGTTGTTTTCCAATCCACAAATCCAAAACCACGAAACAAGTAGGGAATAGCCGCCAGGTGGGGGTAAACCAGATTCTCTTCCCATTGACATACTGGTGGTTTAACATGATTTACCTAGGATCGCAAAGTTACCGAGCTACTGAGTTTCCAAGTCCTGGCATTTACTGACCCTCTTTTTGAACTACGGGTGTGCTTTCTTGCGATTGAAATCTTTCCAGTAGGACAGCGGTAAATGTCGCGACAATGATTTTTTTCATCTAAACAACCGACCAACTGATCAAAGACGATAGAGGATCCTTCAGTGGCTTATTTCTGTCAACTGAAATTTCACACGGTTTTGTTTACTTCTAAAGAATATTTTATTATAGATGATGCATTTTTGTTGCACTTCGAAAACGCCACCTAACAGCATAAAAAGCCTTCGCCATATAACAGCAAGGATGTCCCTCATTTCTCATCTTAACGTTATGGACGATGAGTTTTACCAGCCGCACACATGAACACATTTGACCTTTTCGTGAACACTCAATTTCGTAGTAAAAGCTCAGTGGACCACACCTGATTTTCGGCTGTTACGTACACGCCAGTTTTTCTACAAGAGTGACAATTCTCTTGATAACTAGAGGATCCGAGCAAAAGAGAACATTACGCAATTATGGAAGAGACTTTACTTTATCCATCCACGGGTATGCGTGATATGTATCCCTACTATTTACTATGTGTTATTATAATCCACCATACAAACGCATTATTATCAGCAATTGCAAGTGCTTCCAACCGTGTGCTATGCCTATTTCGGTATTTTTTATACTTTCACGTATGATAATAATTCATTATACAGGTCGCTGAGCTCGTTCTAAAAACGGTTTATAAAATTTAGAATTTCGAATAGAATTCGCATATTTTGCGGTTCATTAGATAAAAATTGGTGTAAAAAGATAGTCTTCGGCGTTGTTTGTTAGTTGCTTGAATTATTCTCAATAGGGACTGTACGTTTAGTACTGAACTGTACTCAGAACAAGTGAAACCTCGAAGAAAGGCGTATGTAATAACCAGGTCCAGATATAATAGTCTACTCTTTTATAACAAAAATCTATTAAAAGATAGTATTGGAATTTACACTGAACATCTCACCAACTGCCCATGCTCCACGTGCCGCCATGACTGCAACCTTTTGGTCCTTATGCTGCACAGATCGAGCACGTTCGTTTAGCTCACCCCAACGCCCTAGTGCCTCTAGACATCGCATCTGATGACCGATCATCTCGTCCGAAAGTGGTTCCGAATCGGCCTAGAAATGTTGAAAATTATCTTTAAAATAAACCAAGATGAGTGTGACATAATGGCAAAACTTGGACCGCACGCCAAATTTGGACCTGCGACTACCCTTTCTAGGGGTTCACATGTTACCCACTGCACAAAAGAGGCTCTTGCTTTCTCTTTCCCTTAGCCAGTTTTTGTACCCTGCTGTGCTATAATCACACGCCAACGGCAAATACCTGGAGAGAACAAATCGGCGCTGAACCCATTTAAGGTGAGGCTGCGGCTAAAATCACAATATTTAACTTTGTTACTTACTGTCTCCTCCCAACGGTTTAAGGGCTCATCGTGGCTGGGTGTTCCAGAGTGTCGGGTTGCGATGTAGAGCGTGATGTCCCCCTCTGGCAGAGTAACCCAAATTGAGAAGGAGTCCGACGTTTCCACTAGGAAACCCAGCTAAGAGTAAACCACTACCAGAACCCATCGCCGTTCTGGTATCAAACTAGTCGCATGGTGGCAAATCTCCCTCTGATCCAAAAGGGCAGCGAGTGCCTGTGGTGGTGACGACCTGGGGCAGACTTTGGCCTGTCAACCTCGGAACTCCAGGAAACCACAATGGCTAGACCAGCAAAACTCAGAAAGAGTGGAGATCATGCTGGGGTTCACACAACCAGTGAGGACAGGCCATCCAAGTATCCAAATAAGTAAGTATTTACTGTCCATTATTTTTTTCACGGTATCGTGTCACGTGAATATCTTTAAAATATTTCACTGACGTAACTATAAGTGTTGAGAAAGATTTGTAAAACAATGGTACTTCCACGACGCTGAAAGAACTTGAAAACCTGATACACAACTATAGGTGTACAAATGTATAAACATAAATGGAAAATATCCTTCATTACCTACCATGTATGCTTCAAGAGCCTTTTCCCACTCGTTTAGTTTCTCATACCATCGTCCAAGCATCTCAATTGAAAATATTGGAAGAACAACATTTTACGTTTTTCTTTTAAGATTAAACAACAGAAAACAAGTGCTTAGCTAGCAAAACTGGACTAACAGGAATGACCATTTCATGCTGCTCAGCATACCGTACAACACCTGCCGCCTCTTCCTGTACATTCAATTTGTTTGCATATCTGAGAAGAATGATTTAACATCTATAGGAAGAGATATTAACACGATATTAACAGATATTAACTCTTGCTCACGTGATAAGAGATTGACAGTCCTCCGTAGTTAAACCCTCTCCACCTCTGTTGAAATGTTTGTGAATTTGGAGCTCTTTGTAACGCAATGCTTTGGCGTATGCTTTTGTTTCCTCAGCACTTTTGCCTAATCTGTCATACGCGATCGGTAAAGGACCCTGGAAAAGTCCATTTAATACAAGAAAAAATAATTTACTCATAAGAATGCATAGACGCATGGCAGTGTTTTATTCATTTACGATCAATTTCCAAGACACACGATAATAAGTCATCATTTACTGGTGAAATGCGAAGCTAAACTCCTAGTTTTAAAAAAGACTGTATTAGGAAAGAAAATACATACTCTCTCAGAATGATCCATGAACTCAGCAAGGTTGAGGATAGTCTGTGTAACATCTGGATGGTTGCTTGTTTCCAAAGCCTGCACGGGGAACACAAAGGATAAAATTACGAAGCGCTTCTCAACTCTACTTAAAATATAAAGTCAAAAAAAATAAAACAAGCTCACAGTCAATAAGGATACAGTAAGTTTGTCCTGCAATTCTTCAGTTAATTCCGTCCATACTGACATGAACGCGGCATTGAAAAGGTCCCTAAAAAAAGGCATGCGTTAGTGCGCGTAAACGTCTTCTCTGTGAGAAACCATAATTTTCATTACGTTAACATATGACGCACGACACTCAATGAACTCCTCCGCCGCCCATAATAAGCAATAGTGGTTGTTCGGCAGCAAAAAAAGACCCTCTCGATGTTGATCAATACCTGATGGATGCGCCATGCATTCTCCATTAAGGATCGTTTAGAGGTGATCGAATGCATATCTAGCCTTTACGATGACCTACAATAGCCCACCGATGTATCGAGCCAGCCTATTATCCTTCCAGACAAGCTGCTACCAATTTGCCGACACCGGAGGGATGGAAGGCTTGGCGAGCCAGAGGCGCGGATTCGATCCCATGTCTGTGTGTGTATTGTATGGCGCCTCCGATCATTGCGCCACACTCCCCTATTGTTCGGCAATAGGCGGTAACTATTTTCTGGTAAGTGAAGAGGCTGAAGGGTTATGAAAATGACTGCTGTGTTTATATTTACTAAATGTTACTATGCTACAAAATATAAGCGTTACAGAAAACATTCTCAGTGAACGCTCTTTATCTTTCATCTTACCATATGCCTCTTATACTGAACAAGTATTTCTCCTAGTAGTGTTTACTTCTGTCACGTAATCTGTGTCAAATCCTTTGACACAAGACCTACGCGCTTGCCTTAGAACCCTCGTCATATTTTGGAAGTGGAACAACGGTCAACTATCAACCAAAAATGAATTTCGTATTCCTCTCATCATGCACAATATCGATTTTTCCACAGTTTCCCCATAACATAATAGTTTCCATAGAGTGGTTCGACGCGTAAATGGGAGAGATTTCTCGGCTACCTATGACCGACAACTGAGAGCTAATTGTGACCGCAAAGAACTGATACTGACCACAGAAATACGTCCTCTGAAGAGACAACTGTTAACGAGATGGGAAGATTCACCGGTCCTGCCTTAAGATAGTAATTACTAGATTGTTATTGTTTGAAGAATACTGGAGTTTTAATAGTCTTCTCTGCATGCTACCCTATTCTATGCTACGTTATGACAACAGACAGATTTTAATTTTAAAGCCTGTCCCCATAGCTCCATGTTGTCGACAGTGCAGTGTTGAATGACAGGAAAGATTGCACGAGATCACTGAGTATATAAATAGGAATGCGAGCTACATAGGCTTGGAAAATAAGTCTGTATCGGCGAATTATCAATGCTGTTTAGGGGTATTGTTTCTTTCCACGAGTATATACCACATAACGGTTTCTGGGTGGATATAATGTTCACAACACCAGTAGAAGGCTGCGATAATAAGACCTGATAAAGGTGTCTAAACATAAACTGTGTTCAACCACATCGATATTTATCAGTATTCTGTGAATACAGAGCCATTCAAAAAATGTCTCTTACATAATTTACCATTTTTCACAGTAAAAAGTTCCTTAGTTGCCGAATTCGTGTTCAAAAAGCAGAAATTTCAGCACCCTCTCCACAGGCCGTCAACAACAACAGTTTCCCGCCGTTTAAACCAACTCGTTTGTAAAAGTTTTCTCTGTTGGTTATTAAGTGCACACGATAGTTTTTGAAGGGTTACGCCACGAAAACATTTCTGCTGAATAAGCTGTCGACTGAAAGCCACTTGAGCAATGAAGCTCTAGGCGACAAAAAGGCACTGAAAATAGGGAGCATTTAGGGCGATGCACTTTGTGTACTTCCATCCCTTGCCTCCAAAAAGGTGTGCTTTGTACATAATGCATCCCGCACGTTATTTGTTCGAGGCACAAAATCAACAAAGAAAACGAACTTTGCGAGATGTTGATGCTGATCACTCAATGACGCAGCGGCTCGGATTGCAGCAGAGCTTCCTGACTGGAAAGTTTGAAATAATGGAAAAACACTATATCAGACAACCTCGGCAAACTATTCTAAGGTTCACAAAAACGAAATCTAAGCAAATTTTTAAAAAGCTTAAAGTGAACAAAGTGAAAAAGTGAACAGTTTCAATTTCAGGATTACCTTAATGAAGGCTACACGGAGTTTCATCAGCCATTGAGTCCACTCCTCCTTTGAAACTAAAGAATCCACAGCCCATGCTCGCACCACAGCCTGAATTTGATTACATTTATTACTCTGCATAATAAATACTAGGCCAGATTATACGTACTACTTGGCATAATAATTACTAAGTCACAGGAATCGATGCCACACTGTAAGAAACTTAGTTCCAAAGCAGAAAACCACTCTTTATCACAACAACCGGCAGCATCTTGCAGTGAAGATGAAAGATCGCCCAATCACGGCTACCACGGCATTCAATGGAGAAACATTTAGGTAGTTTTCGCAGCAGTTTGGTAACGATTAGAAGATCGATGCCTGGGACAAACCCTAACGATGGAAAATGTCCTAATCTTCCAAAAGTTGAAGACCTTCATTTAAATACTCAACTTGCAGCACTGGTAGCGTCATACATGCAAATGGAACGGCTACTACTCGACTATAGATGGAGGCCTGCCAGGATAGCAATTAGCCACTGCAGCAAAACTTCGCTGACAGCGAGAAAACAGTTGACAGTGTGGTAACAATCTACAACATTCATTTAAAAAAGTAAAATCACAACCAGCAACAGAAACAACACGTGCGATCTTCGGAGGCCATTGCGGACGATGAATGTGCTGCGATCGGCACAGTAGATGTGATACTTGGTCAAACAAATAATCAATAATAACAAATAATAATTAATCTACAACGATAGTACACCCTTCACTTCGTAGTTCTAGCTCTAACGGCCGACATATTATTTATGCCGTCGGTGAAGAACCGTACAGCACCCAGTCCGCATCCGACTGGACACGAACATTTGAACAATATACCAACTGTCCTCCGACACCGGATCAGATTTTCACCCGTCAAAAGGTTAACAAAGAATGGAAGATCTGAAGGATAACGGTAAGCGGTTCGTTACGTAAAACATCAACAGAACTGAAAGAACAGTGGACGAAAGACAGCCATGAGAGTAAACAGGGCTTCCAGAATGGTTCACAACGACAGATCACATTCATATGATAATTTAACCAAATTTCGAGTTAGTTAAGACATAAGCAGTTACGAAAATTGTAGACGGTCGGTTCCTTCCTCTCCAGTACAGACATCGGGATTATACAATTCTACAATAATATTACCGTCTGCGTAAAGAGGAGTTTTGAGAAGGAGAATTAACTTCATCAAAATTCTTTGCCGATACTCTTGAGAGGAGTTGCGTAGTGCGGTGGTCATAGGTGCACTGCAATACAAACAGGGTCATTGGTTGTTTCTCACACCTCGGCCATCGACTGATACCAGATTTACACGGGAAGAAAAAAACCGACTTGGTATACCGGAAGGACCCTGGAATCACAGACTGTATAGGCAAAACATGCATACAATACCCTCTCCGATGCTTAACGCGGCCAAACGAATTGACGCCCATAAGTTTCAACTTTCGTTCCTTTACTCTCGACAACATCCAAAAATAGAATTAGTTAACAAATGAGTTCAACGTTGACTAAAAACCACAGTATCTGCGCTTTGCTAGCAAACTCATTCACGCTTAACAGAACAAATATATTTAAAGGCTCCAGCTATGTGTTTCTCGTCGAAGATGCAAAATGACTGGCAATACAGCTTCAGAGTTGGGCAAGAGAAAACCAGCGGCGTGTACCTTCGAAGACTCGACGACAGGTAATCAGATTACTGAACATTAGCGAATGCGCTATCGAGAGAATGTTAGGATGCACTACAACATCAAAATGAGATGTTTCCACTTATGCTTACTCCGAAGGACCAGAGACAAACACTACACACGCAAAAATTTCGGTTGCTGGAACACAGACGCTCCCAGCATCGAAAATCAGGAAGACCACTAACTAGATAATCACATTTATTTATAAAAAACCTTGAAATAGCATTGGATGATTTAGTACACAATGACGACGAATGGAGGACGACGCGAATTTCGTCGGCACCCCATCGAGCTAATCGATGAGCGGCTGATGAGACAAGACATGATTTGGAGTTAAGGGAAAGTCAAAATTGTTACCCTAAGAATTTAACAATTACGCTCTGCTTGAAGGAACGACATTTACGAAAACGAAAAAGTATATCAAAAATACTTAGACGCCATAAAGCAAAGTGTCTACTCGGTTAAAGATAATCGCGTCGCTAGTGCAAATACGTTAGGGTATATATTTTATAAAATTGAGTGCTCACATCTACATTAAGCCTCTGCTTATTAACTGTCCAGCTGAGTATCTGATCCATATTCTTCGCAGCCGATGGTGTAAACGTATGGGGAGCACTGATCTTTTCCGGTGGCACGGCACCAGTTCCACGTCTTCTACCTGGCCGTTCGACCGGATGCAACATTGCTTGCTGAGCTGTTTCTAGAAAATTTCGACGATTTTTCCAAATCACAAGTTATAAACATTTCAGTTAAAACTCATTCCCGACATTTCAATTATTTATACGAAAACATATTTCAAATATATGTTCTATAACAACGCTTTTGCTACCACATTGAAACGTGCATTCGCTGCCGAAAACTACATGTAGACACAATCTTAACTATTTTATTTACTGCCTTTTTCTTCTTAATGGCAGGTTATGTTTCGAATTATAACTCGTATGAAATGCTGAGATATTTGTGTTCGCGTGTTCATTCTCCACTGCATACACCTGTGGTCCGGAATTTTGCAAATATCTCAGCATTTCATATGAGTTACATGTAGACATTTGTTCAACCTCTAGAATGACGTAAGTGGAGCAATAAAAACGTTGACGAAATCCCTGCTCTTATCTGCCGACCTAATTCCAATGCCTCCCAACGGTTTACCACGTTTATCGCCTCCTTTTGGCTGGGAGGTGTACCTGGGTGTCGGGCTGCGATGTACAGCGGGTGAATTCATTCCTCTGGAAGAGTCTCTCAGGCCGAGGAGTATGGAGTTTCCATCAGGAAGAGCAGCTAAGAATGAACCAATCCGAAGATACGTCACTGTCTTGGTACTAAGCTAGTCACGTGGTGAACAATCCACATCTCCTCATCCACAAAGGCTGCGACTGCCTGTGGTGGTGACGATGTGGGGCAGATTTTAGCCAGGCTGATCTCGGGGCTCCAGTGAACCACAATGGACTAGGAAAACTCGGAAAAATTAGACATTATGCTAGAGGCCCGCACAACCAGTAAGGACGGGTTATCCAAATGTCCAAGTGAGTATTCCCGTGAACTTACTCAAACACTTCGTTGTGCGTTTGTTCTTACATGTATATGCATATATGGAGGACATACTAATGTATTTCTCGTAAGCTTCTCCAGAGTTCAGGTTGTACTTCCGGAGGTTGGCATCGACACTGCGACGAAACACTTCAAAATGCTTCCACGTCTAAAACACATCCCTTCACTTTCCAACAGCATACAATCTATAGACAAATTACTGCATGTAGTTATAAGTAAAAATCAAGCTAGAAATCCCAAAACTAGTGGAACACTTGAACCGTGGTAAACTGTGAACGAATATCAGCTTTCCCTTCAGTATGCCGCGAAACACACCAACATTCCAATTTCAGTCATTCTACTGGGTATTTGTAAATAAAAAGGTAGCAAATATTATGTGACTATATGAACTATTCAAAACATAGAGAACGAAGGTCTCTCAACGACTAGGATTTCCGAAAAGCGGAGCACTTATGAAGAAGACCAGTTATCGCTCTAAAGGTAAATGCCACTCTTCTAAGACTTTTGCAAAGAATTTGCCCAAAATTAAAACTAAATGACCCCAATGGGAAAAACAGATCTGAATGCAAGTGTGGCAACCATAAACATCTTCTATACACTGGGGTAGAAAATCGTGTTTTTCTGGACGAGAACCCGTCTGTTCAGTCACTTCGGTGCTCTGCATAGAAGTCTCAACGATAAAAAGAGAAAAGAGAAATTTACGGGCCGCACTAATCATAATCCCATCATTTAGAATAAGAACATTCGCATCTTGCTGGCAAAAACTCCAGCAGTTTTATCTCAATAAATTCCACTTCGTGTTAACCGAGATATGTCTCAATTTTAACTTATTATTAACTGCCTACTCTTTTTTAATGGCAGAGTGTATTTGGAGATATGTCTGCTTGCCGTTAAAGTGCTGAACCATTTTCACCACAGAACGCTATGAAATGAATGCATATCATCTGAATGTGTGAAAATAGTTAATTAATCGACCTGATTCACAATTTCAACCAGCAGTTCCAGCAATTGCGGCTGAAGTGCTGTGACGGAAATACTGCGTTGCCAAGTCTGCATAAGACGTGGAGCATAGTCAGAAAGATCATCACTACGAGTTAAGTGAAGCACAGTGTCTAAAAATCACTTTTTAAAAAAATTTCAGAACCTTCAAATGCGGCACATGGTCAAATAGATATCCTGGCGTACCAACTAATCACCGACTGCTAACCTAAAGCTGATTGCCTTACAGCAATTGGTACAACAGAGTCATCCAGTATCATAAGTAGTGGCGGAAGAACCAGATGGAGATGTGGAGTGAGACATCCGGATAGCGATCGTACACATGACAACACCTAAATTTACTGAATAAAAAACATTTGAAAATTCTCGTCGAAATTAACGAACCTGCGCAGTGAGTTTCCGTTCATCACTTTTGTCAGTCTGTACAACTCGCAACAGATACGGTATGAGTTCTGCAATGTGTGGAGCAAATTCTTTACCCAGCGCTGTGCCTATTTGTTCCAATACACTCACTACCGTTACTTTGACACTATGGTCCTCACTCCATGCATCCTGAATAAGTAGTACTGCAATGGAAGCGCATGCACATAAATCAATTAAAACCAAAAAATGCAGTAAAATACTCAAGGCCCTTTATGATGAAAAATCCCACCGCAATGAGGCTGAAAATTGCCTTCATATACGGTTTTGCATGTACTTTAATGATCGCAACTAAGCTGGCTAATTGCCGAAGGAAAAACTCGCGATGCGACGGCCGGCCGCGACATGCTCGTGTCACTTCGATTAGGCGAGGTACAACCTGAACAGTCAGTCCTAAACGAGCTTTATTTTCGCTCTCTTATGACTTAAAAACGTAACTTTCTTAAGAAATAACTAAAAAGGAAAAAAGTTCTCACCTGCTGAACATACTGAGGAAATGAGTCCCCAAGACTACGAAAAATGGTCAATAAAGCCTGAGATATCTCCTTGTAATACTGCGTAAATGCCTCGTCTTGGACCTATTGAATAAAAGTGTCAACTCAGTCATTTAAATAATAATTCACAATATTGAATCGGTACATTTTCCACTGAACTTACCATGACCATTAGATTCGCAATTGTAATTGCTGGATAGAACTCTTCTAAAGTGTACTTCTCGTAATTGTACCACTGGATAATGTCTTAAAATAATACAAGATGTAGGAAAAAAAGAGTTTAAATAAAGAATTATCTTATTTCCTCTTCAAATTAAACGATATATATTTAGAAGGTTTCCAATTGTGCACTAAACACTAACATAAATACAAAACAGAGGAGTAGAATGGCAAAACAGAAAAAGAAACAACGATGAATAGAAAAGGAAAAGAATGCTTCCTACCCTGACGTGGATCAGCAGCATCTCTGGCCATTGGAAGCGATAACGCAGTACTTATAGATGTAGCTGACTGCACCGCACCAGTGAAAACCTGCGCAAAAAAAGTTGAAAATCAAACAGTTATGTACGGCAACCAAGTTATAAAATAATTTGTACGGAATAGGGAAGATAGACTGAATAGGCATATTTTAACTGCTAAACGAAAACAACATATAAACGGAAACCAAACACGAAAAGTAAGAATGTATAAAATGCTGAAAAATGCATGTATTTAAAGCATGAACGTACACATTTAGACGTATATGTATATATATATATATATATATATATATATATATGCATATACACATATACACACGTGTATATACACGTGTACATGCATACATGTATTTATATATACATATAGGGCGACTGAAAATCAACTTCTTGTATTGAAATTCTTCTAATTTATTTTATAAGTATCTTTGAATAAATAGTTACGCAAAGAATTTTTCTAGCATAAAATTTTACTTAACATTCCACACAAGCACGAGCACTCGCCAATGGCTTCTCAGAGCACCAGGGAACCGCATCAACCGATTTCAACAAGAACCTTCACGGGATGGAGGATACAACTTCGCGTATTCGCCTTCAAGTCCTTCCAAAATCACTTATTTTTAAGGCAGGGTTATTGGATGGTTACTCAGCTGACCATAACGAGCCATTCGCCTCCCAAGAAAATAGACATTCGGCCATTCACGAATAGCGATGTCTGCAAGAGAGCCATTTTCCATAAAAACTAAATGTTTACTGCTCTCCTAAGAGGCGATAATTAAGATTTCATTTTTTCTTCCACAACTTGCACTACTTCCGGCAATTGGAATTGGAAGTGTGACCCCTTCTTCGAGTATACGTTTTAAATCCTACATCCATGAATTTCCCATGATAGTTTTTGATCTTCCTCGCTCCAATTTGATCAAGTCCTCATTCAGTGGCCCTCCATTATCTTTGAACTCTCCAAACTTCGTAACATGCGGATAGTTGAGCACGCTCTTACAGGATAAGACGCCCAGTCATGTTTTTAGGGCTTGCAAATTTCAAACAAAACAATCCATTCGAAAGACAACCACAACGTAGATTTAATTCCTACACACTGAGGAACATACACAAAAAAAATTCGGAAAAATATTCTTCTTTTACGACCCGTCTTTCATATTTGATATGCAAATCACAACACTTCTCACATTCGATTTGTTTCCTCGCATCCGTCATCCAAGAAGATCTTCCAACTTTACATGTGGCTTCGAATGCTGCTTGAAGATTTCCATTTTACCTTGAATGTCGTTGAATGCTGGTCGAGTCGATCCTCCCTGCAGTCCTGATTCTGCCGGGCTAGAGTGTTCACACTTGGATTACAAAGAGTGATTTCTTCTCAGATGAGTGTGGCACAACTTTCCCGACACAGGAGGGATAAGAGGCTTGGTGAGCTCGGAGCGGAATCAAACCAGCACCGTGCTGCTGATAATGGTGATCACTTCCACTGCTTCTACCCCCTCAGAAAAATATTACAGCACACAAATAGGTTATAAATATTTAAGGATGCGGAATTACTTTTCAATCATCGTATGTATAAATGTATATACGTATGAATACAAGTGTATGTGTACACATAAATGTACATATGCCCGGTGAAAACTATACCTTGTGTGTGTAGGGATCGAGAGCCCCAAGAATTCCAAGCGTCCTGATCGCTTGACGCCTCATCCTTGAAGACATTTCGGTTTTCAGCAGTCTGAAAAATGCGATATGCGGATTACACCAACGCTTCGGGATCGAAGCGGATTTCTCACAAATTGCTGGTAATTTTCAATAGCCGTAGTAACACAGGAGTTTAACATGTGACTGTCTTATAGAGGAGATTTCGCCCTATCGATTAACGGCTATGGTTTTTAAAACTGTTATTTGATTTTCAGTGCCGTACAGAATGAAAATTTCCAAAAGCAATAAAAACGATTTTCAATCTCGAACGAAATCCAAGCAACCATAATCATCAACAATCCATCTGGGGAAAACAATTTCTTTCAATGGACGAAAGAAATTTCGAATGTTCAATTGCTTTCACTTTCGAAATACGAGCTTCGACGAAAAAAGGTGCACAAAACGTTTTAAGAGATCCAGGAAATTACAGTTTCATAATGACTTCATCATCACGGACATTTTCTCCACCCTCAGTGAGCAGAAATCAACGACAGTCCTTAAGTGCGAAACAACAATAGTAGTTCACCTTATACTGATGGAATACGGTGTCATTGCTTCAGTTAAACCCCAATCGACAACTAAAATTTAGTACCTAAGTAAGTCATCCAGTAAATTCGGATAATCCTTGTACGGATCAACAACATAGGCGGTCGAACGGGCGATGCGACCAATAGCTCGTAAAGAAGCCTAAAAGTGTCGTTATTCTACTGTAAAAAGAAAAATCTCTATTAAAAAACAAAAATGTTTAAAAGAATATCATTTCCTCACGAGTCTGAATAATCACGGTGAAAACATTGCGAAAAGTTCTAAGTCACAAGAATTCACATAATTTTTGTTAAATAAATTGTATAAATTTATGGAAAGTAACAGCTGAGTAACGGGAAGCGCACATCGTAGCAATTAAAAGCCCTCTGCAGCATACAGGTTCGACCTTTCGTGGTGAACAACCAAGCCTCTCAACACTTTTAGCTTGATAAAATTGTAGCAGGCTTGTCTTGCAAAGATTTCTTCCCATCCACAAAGACCTGCCATAAATGCGGGAAAACCTAGGAAAGACCTAGCACAGCTGCCACAGGATTCCAGACAGAACCAATTCGAACAGCATACAACGATACTTATGAACAAAGTAATGTACTCAGTACCGGACGAATCCGCACACAAAGCCGATAACTTTCGGAACAGAAGTGGTGAGAACCGTTAAATATGTGAATGCGAGTCGCATGAAAGAAGACGAGTAAAAAACGAAAATACGAAAAAACTTACTTCGCGTCGCTGTAAACTACTTGAGTCATTAATAAGTTGTGTGAGTTTCTGGAACAGTGGGTCAATATTACGGACTATTTCCGCACCACCAACAACGCAAAGTTCCGAAATAGCATGAAGCACGTGCACAGTAACATCGACATGCTGGAAAATATAGTGTATCTCAAGCGATCTCAAAGACAAAGCAGCGTCTTTGCCTTCAACCTTCATTTCGTTTCTCAGTTTCGGAAGAAGAGCTTGTAGAAGAGGTCCAAGATACGGGCGCATGAATTTTGGACTCTGCCGAGCTAGTTGAGTCAGTAGTCGGGCACTATGTTGTTCCAGTCTATAAGTTATATGAAAGTGCTAAGGAGACAAAAGAGAGGACAATTTGAAGAACTGAAGCCAGTAACTTACAGTTGCGCCAAAAGGAATAATGAAACCGACCGTTTTTCCATGTGGAAAAATTACAGAGATGGTAAAGTATTAAAAACTGACTTTGCTTGTCCACTGTTCGTCAGCTGGCTTAGAGTTTCCAACAATACCCGTCTCATTCTAGGTAGAACCAGAGCGGGATTCAGCTCTGACAAGCGACCAAGAAGGCAAACAGCTGCCTAAAGCAAGATTACAATCGCAGGTGTTTTATTCCATATATCTGTGCTTCTTCTAACAAAACCAATTCGAATACTTCTTGAATTTCCAGCTTTTCATCGTGTAGACTCATGAACTGCAATTGAAGCATTTCAGGTTGTGCAAGGTGGGATAGAAAAGCACGATCAGCTTCACAGAAACATTGGAGGACACAAAGGCGTACTTCCAGCTCTAAAACAGCAGAATACGAAACATCCTAACACTGGCGTTTTCTTCTGATGTACCAGGAAGCTATGAAAACAGTAGAGCGCGCAGAAAAAAAACTAAAGAAGAAAGTGAAGACTGAACACTTACGAGGATCAACAACTCCAGCACTGACTAAGCTCCGAAGAACACCATGAATTAGGGCCAGAACCCACTGGCGATGCTCCCTATGGACCTTTTCATATACCTAAAATAATCTAATTTGACGAATTGAACTGTTTACTAGTCTCGGAATGTGGAAAGATAACAAGACATAAATTCCTTTCACAACATCAGCGCATTTGCTTACGATTGGAAGTTCCGCACAACCCAGAAATTTCTCAGAAGTCCTCTCGACAAATTAGTGAGATGGAAGACTTTACAAAGATAGCAAAATGTAAAACCACACCTTTACGAATGGTTTCGATATAGCTGCGCAACATCTCACCGCGGCCAGTCGCACGGTAACAGAATCACATAATAAATACCCCTTAATCCAGCTTTATCGCTAACTTTTCAAACAAGACTTTCATCAAAACAGATTTGCAGTTACTTACGTCAGAAATGTATTGCATAAACATCTCGAGATAGTGTCGTTGGAATTCGAATTCACCTAATGTGTCCAGTGCCAGCACCGTGAGAGGAATATTGGAAACCTACATAAAAACACATATGAATAACATTTATACACATTTGCAAACGCATATATATGTATATATAAGTATAAAGGATAAAGGGATAAGCCCTCGGCGTTGACCAATCCCTGAAGGATGCGCCATGCATTCGACTTCACTAAGCACCCTTTGGAGGTCATTGAACGCATAACTTGCCTTTACAATGACTCGTAGTGGCCTACCGATGTATCGAACCAATGCTGCTAACTTCTAAGACAAGTCTAGTACAAAAATTTGCCAGACCCGGAGAGATGGAGAGCTTGGTGGCCAGGGTCACGGGAATCGATCGCATGTGTATTGAAATGCGCCTCTGACAACCGCCACACCCGCCCGTATATACGCATATACATGCATGTATCAAAAATAAAATTGTTGATCAAAATATGTGCCATAACTAAATACAAATTTCCCTAAACAGATTAGTGCTTCAATGTAGTTAGTCACCGCGCACTGAAATCCAATAAGTACCGGTGCATTAGTACAACACTAAGGTCAACAAAGTTGAAATGGAGTTCGAAATTTCAAAATGTAAAGCCAATTAAGCGAAAATCAACGAAAGGAATCGCTGTCATCCTGCTAGAAACGTAGTCGAAAAGTGAAAAAACGCCCCTGTAATCCACAAAGATCGGCGAGTGCTTGTGGTAACTACTTGCGAGCTTTCTTGCGTGAGTTCTTCCAAATTCCAGGAACGAAATCCTGTCAAAGAAGTAACATAAGAAAACGTGCTCGAAGCCAAGTTACGAGAGCTGGGTGCTATACAATTAGAGGAGATAAACACAGAATAATAGTGAGCATGTACTTGTATATTAATACCAACATTTCGTCTATACTACAAGAATCACGTTTCTGTTCACACAGAGACGCTCATTCACACGAGCGCATGGGTGTTGGCATGTACACGGAATGTATCTTGCACATCGGTACAGCCAAAATTCAACTATTGGATAACCGGAAGGCATGAAGAAAGCGACTCTCTAGATCTCAAATAAACAAACTTCACGTCTAACCCAGCCTGAATAATCATTTATGACCTCCTTTTCCACCCGTCGCTACGCTATCTACCACTACCGGATTTGTGTGCAGTTTCGGTTGCTACTTGAAGAGTTCACCTTCTGTCGTTGGAATTTATGCAAATTTCCCAATTATCTTAATCAATAGGAGCTCTCCTTTTATGGATCTTAGGGAGACTTTTCCAGACAAGTCTGACACGAATTTGCCAATGTCGGAGGGACGAGAAGCTCAGCTAATGTAGGCCGGGGTCCAGCAAGGTAACATTGTGCGTAAAGCACGACATCTCTAACCACCACGCATTCCGTAGAGATGATATCTTACTACTATTACTATTATTGTTGTTGCTGTTATTGTTTAATTACGTGACCAAATATCACACGTATCACACTGTGCGGATCTCAGCACTTCCCGCATTCGATTCATTTCCTCGCGCCCACAAGTCACAAAGGTCTACGAATCTTTTCACGTGTACGCTTTGCCGCTGCTTGAAGAATTCTCGTATTCATTGTGAATGGCGTTGAACGCTAGTCGAACCAATTCTCCCTAGAATCCTAATATAGACGTGATAGAGCGTTCTCATTTGGATGGAAGAGAGTGAGCTTACCCCATACAACTTTCTTATTTCACGATCTCGAGGGATGAGATGCTTGGTGGCCCAGGATACGTTGCGTAGCCCGCGTAATGAACGAGATCACCAGCAGTGCGCTACCCGTTCCCTGCACAGATATGATATTAGGTGCTGGCTTAAGAGGGCAACTGCTTACATTTATGTATGAAGAGGTCAAGCGTAATGTAAATGTAGGCAATTTTCTCCATGTTATGCCATATTGTGAGGAAAAGTTATGGAAGCATGAGGACCAGTTGTTTAAGTGACTGCGTGGTAGTTTTAATGCTACAGCAACCTTCCATTAGGCTCAATATTTCATTAATGCTGTATTTCTTGTTTATAGATTGGCGTAATTGCAAGATGTTGGCGATTTATCAGGAGTATAGACTTAAATTGTTGGCATTGTACAGAAATTTCGTCGAAGTTCTGCTCGCACCAGGACAGAACCTTCATTAATATTCAAAACCTTTCCAAAACAATCCACACTCAAAGCACATGGCACATTAGTCATGGGAAGTAATACACCCACAGTGATGGAAACAATGTATCATGGAATGCTATACGTATTGCCGTTCCGTGGTTGCGAACATTCGCTGTCGGAAATCACTTTTCTTCATGCGCTCTCCTTCTCAATTGATGAAAAAGTCCACTCAGATTGCGTGTATAATTGTAGGCGGTTCCAACATTGAACCACCAAAAATCTTTGCAAGACGTACAGATAATATATGATAACAAATTCGGTCAATCGGCAAGCAGTGGTGACTTTCGCAAACCACTACTGAATACCCAATAATAATAAGGTTCAAAATTAAAATTTGCTGCTAAGATTAGGGGTACGCTCTAACCGACAGGCCTCACATCCATTTAGCTCACTATATTATACGCAATACTTTCGATTAGAAGGAAAAAAACGCCTGAATGAAGTCTTCTAAACAACACGGGGTACTAAACACCAAAATCGTTTTTGTGGTTTGAATTTTGAAAGAGTATCTCATCCTCATGACCCATTTTAATATACCCCAAGAAATAAACATTGATGGCAATCAATGAGAAGGGAAGATGGTAGCTGGACGAGAAGAAAACTGAAGTAGATCGCAAACAGAATCAAAAAAAACTTCATGGAAGACCTCCATAATGATAGGTCCAAGCGTTCGTAGAAGGATTAGGCTATCTATCCTCATGTCTGAAATCAACTTTAGGATATCCAAGATGCAGCCAATGCAACGCATACCAATGTGTTCATTTTCATGGATGATGGTTGCAAGACATCGAAACGAGTAGAAGCCCTTGGATTCATAATATGTAAAAAAGGCTGTTTAGCTAAGTACTTCTACTTCTCACCTGAAGTGTATGAGTCGGCAAAACTGGCTTCTTCGGCGGATCCAATTTGCTAGGTAAAACGCAGCCTAAATATGGCTTTTCAACACAGCCTTGACCAGAGTGATACATAACGTTAGATACCGGTTAAAATCATATACAATTCCTTCATGAGCCCATCTTGGACATCCATTTGCAGTTGATTAATATGTCGCACCACTTCATGCATAACACAAGTAAGACCTGAAGATACGAACTATTACCAGGCCAATAGAGAAAGTTTCATTTTTTCAAAAAAGATCGCTGTGGTGAAGAACAAGCAAGAAGCGAAAAAAATGAATGCTTCGTCTTGGAAGATATGTAACTAGGTGATTGCAAAAACTTCCTTAACAATTCGTTTCAAATCTAACTTATTACAAAAACTTGAGACTAGGTCGAATGGAAAAATCACAAACAAACCTTTGGATAAACCTGTTTTAAAAAGTAAAGATAGAAGCTGCTTTATTTCATTCATCACCGATTCCTTATACGCTTTTACAAAAAGTGTCAAGAAAATAAACACGGATTGTTCAGGAGATCGTTTTCTGAAAGAAAAAAAGTTCGTTGATTGTGAAACAGGCCAAAAACACAAGACATTCCATGATCAGAAAATTCAGCTAAACTACTGAAATTTTCCTTTTACATTTTACTGGAACGACATACTTGGAAATAGCTGTGTTGAGCATGTCCATTACGACCATCATCATTTGCGGAACATTGCCTCTGTACCGTTCAGGATTCTGCAGCATCAAAAGACCAAGTGTCACAAGTGCAGTACTATTCTTTTGGACTCTGAATAGCGAATGCCAATCTTTACGTAAAAAAACACAACACTATTCAGCTAGCGTTCCTTCAAAACACTGACATATTTTTAGCGTGTTCGAACATAACCTTGCAAAGAGACGGCTCGCATTGTTCCCACGCTGATAGACGCGGAAAGAGTTCAAGCAATGTCTGATGGACCGGAGTTGACCGGGCACTACTAGAGGCCGCTGCCTTGGCGTGACCACAAATCTATAATCACATCTAATCTCCAATATAAACTCAATTTACACGACTTTACAATAACTGAATTTGGAAAGGTGTAATCGCTAAACAATGTCCTCCTTTTGGAACCAGAGAATTACAAAACCAATAAATTTGTAGAGAGATATTAACATATGGACAGTAATGTGGCTCCCAACTGTTTACCGCCTTATCGTGGCTGGGAGGTGTTCCTGGGAGTCGCGCTGCGTTATACAGCGGGAGGATTCGTCCCCGCTAACAAGGAGTCCTGCATTTCGACCAGGAAGCCTAGCTAAGAGTAAACCAATACAAGGATCCACCACTGTCTTGGTATCAAAGTCGCATGGTGGCAAATCTCCCTCTGATCCACAAAGGTGGCGACTGCCTGTGGTGGTGACGATCTGGTGCAGAGTTTGGCCAGGCTGACCTCGAGACTCCAGGCAAACACATTGCCTAAACCAGCCAAACTCCGAAAAGTGGAGAATATGCTGAGGCCCGCACAACTAGTGAGGACGGACTGTGCAAGTATCCAAGTAAGCAATGCGCCATACCAAACGTCATTAAAGAAATACGTAAGCCTTGATTAAACCACTGCTTGCTGATCACGAACCTCAGCGAAATTAGCTAGAACCACTGCACGCGCGGTGCTACTCTCGACAGTACACGTCACTCTGCAAATGTGCCACTGATCAATATTTCATGAGCCACAATATAACAATGAAAAATATGCTTCAGAGAGGTATATTCTTCAAATCTTTCTTGTATAGATTTAAGAAGGTTTACTATTTCTTTTAAGCCATAACGGATGTGCGCCGTTTAGTGCGGATCCCCGAATGAAATACGAGCAATTTCCCATCCGCTGACTTTTTGGTTTTTTGATAATAAAAAATAATTTTTCAGTAACTAAAGCACTTCAGGGAACGTGGACATGACGGAATTGTAGAAGAGACTCTGCACTATCATTTCATGAGTAGTGCATTACTATGGCCATTTTGCAAACACATTGCTGTTAGCACTTGGATGCATTTTGCCCCTATGTTGAGTTTATATTGCTGTTTTTCGTATCCTCATATTCCGCACAACGATCGTAGCGATTAAAATGAGATAACAATCAATCGTTAAATAAATTATTGGCCAATGAGCCCTTTCGAAAACAGTATTTTTCAAATCACCAGGTGTAGAGAAAGGTTCTTCTGATCTCATCCCCATTATTTTGATCTGGTTTCAATTAACAATAGAATGAATACGTATACATGTGCATATATATGTATATATACATATATGTACATATACAGATGTGTATACTCAAGTATACATATACAACGCGGCAAAAGAAAATACTTGACCGCACTAAACTGAAAATGGACACTATAGTGTCCATACCGGGCGTTTTGGGTTAAAATGGCAGCCTGATAAACTTATGCTTAAATCTGTACAAAACGGTACCTCTGCTGTGTTAACCACTCGATGGGATTGGATATAGACGTTTCCGTTTGGTGAATATCAAGAGCTTCTAGACGGATCCTCTCGAACGCTGCGTCGGCAATGCGAACCAATTCGTTCACAACCTAATTAAAAATTTGAACAAGTGTCATACCGGTATCGGTCAGTGCAAACCTTTTAAAATACTTGGGAAACAAAAGCTCCCTAATGTGAACTGTAATAAGCTGAATTTACCCTTCCAAATCAGGACGCATGCAAATAAGACCTTTCCTTCCGAAGATCTTAAGCTTTAGAGAAACTGTCTATAAAAAGTAAATCAACATACTCTCCATCGGTGATCATCTTTAAGAGTAATGCATAATTTCAAAATAAATCTGGCCGAGGAAGACCGTTTAACACTGTGATTCTTGCTTTGAATTGTATAGTGAGGTTTACCTCCTAACGGTTTACCGCCTCATCATGGCCAGGAGGTGTTCCTGGGTGTCGAGCTACGATGTACAGCGGGCAGACTCTTCCCCTCAGCACGGTTTCCCAAGCTGAGAATGAGAGAAAAGAAAAGAAGAAGTAGTCCCGCGTTTGCATCAGGAAGCCCAGCTAGGAGTAAACCAATACCAGGATGCACCACCACCCTAGTATCAAACTACTCACATAGTGGCAAATCTCCGTGATAAACAAGGGCGGCGACTGCCCGCGGTTGTGACGATCTGAGCGGACCTTGGCCTGGCTAACCTCGAAACTCCGGAAAACCACAATGGCTAAACCAGCAAAACTCCGAGAAAATGGAGACTATGCTGAGGCCCGCACAACCAGTGAGGACAGGCCTTCCAAGTATCCGAGTAAGTGAGACACAAAAAAGCAACCCTAATGTTGAGCAAATCATAAGTCACATAAGATGAAGATTATAATCAGCAAACTCACCAGAAGCATCGAATGAGTGCGGTCATCTTTTGACAGCTCACTGATCTTCATTGTATTCAAAGCTTCCGAGTAGCATTTCTGAGGTTCACAAAAAAAAATTTAGGAGTTGTCTATCAAACTTATTGCTAACCAACCGTGTACCACTCCGTCTTCAACTTGGCTTCTCTTTGTGAAGTGATTGTCAAAGCAGCATGAAGGGCGTTGATTGAGGCGATTCGAATTTGCGGCTAAGAGAAATAGTTGGTTGTCACTACTTGATGGTCCCAAAGCAGAAAAGAAAAACTGCAGAAACACGATTTCCGAGATATTAAATTCGACCTATGTAAAGCTCCAGACAAAGTTATCCGGATGGGGCTATACCTTAGGATCCCTAAGTACTGTGAAGATATTTTTGAAGAACACATTGGCGCGTAAAAAAAATGATGTAGACGTGAACATGGCAAGCTCTCTGGCCAGCAGCACCGAGGCCAAGCGTCTTTGCTCGTTTCTTATTGGTTCCTATAAAAGAAACGTCAATGACATACGTGCAAAACCCTCATAGACTCTTTGATAACACCATGGTAACTAACCTCTAGCCATTCTAAACACTGGTCAAGACATTTTTCGACTAATTCTGCAGCATAGGATTTTGATGTCTGAAAATCAGTGGTTTTATCGAAAAACAAACCTCTACCCAATGTAAGACTAGTTCTAAGACTGGACCCAATATTGGCTTAAGTATAACCAACCCTAGATGGTCCCAGGATTGAAGTAAACTTTTCAGGTCTAGTTTTGTTTTCATACACTGGTAATCAATTGTTTTGCGCTTTTTGCAGGTGACATGAAAACAAGCGAACTGGACTGAAGCGCCCTCCACCTTCAGGATGTGTCTCTTAGAGATAAGATAATAGGTTATCCATCGACCACACATAAATTCTGACGCAGTCCGCATTCACTACCTTTAAGCACTCATGATGGAATGTCTCATTCAATGATCTCTTGGACCTTAGTATAATCGATGAAGGAAAAAGGGATAAAGGAATGGAAAAAGGAATGGTAATGAAAAAGCAAACGAATTTTTTTCAAGATACCAGAAAACAAAAATTATACGAACACTGAAGAGTGGCAAAAAGTAGAGTAAGACAATAGAGCAAAATTTTTCCTACTTGTATTAGAAACGCTAGTGCCCGAGCGGCTAATTCCATTCCAGCCTCATCCATGTTGGGCATGGTAAGGACCTTTAGCAGGAAGTTTGCGAAGCGGACCACTCGATTCGACTCGCCATCGATAGAAGTTTCCGCAAGACATACTGACAAAAATTGATTTTCCGATTGCTTGATTGAAAGTCTGAAGGAAAACCATAGGTCAATTAAGACACTACGGGACATCAGTCAGCCATGCGCTAATCAAACGTAATAATTCTAAACACCAACGCGCTTTATTAGAAAAAAGGCATTCAGTATTCCGCGACGTGAGATTACCATCAGAGGGAGCCTTTTACTTCCGCTACAAAGCTTTCCGTGTGTTCTTCGGCTTCACATCCTCATTACCTCATTAAAAACTCTCCAACTTTGCTCAAAAGTGCTGCAATCCAAACGATAATATGAACCACCAAGTGCAACCCACATTAATGCAATCTAATACAGCAAGTCTTAACTTCACGGTAATCAGAAATTCATAACTCTGACAAGTACCTATGAGGAAGATTCCGCCCTTCTTCTCGTCCAAATCCGGGCTGTAAATACATTCATGAACGGCACTCTGAAAACCGACTTTACTTTAGAAGCAGTAAATTAACAAATGGACGGCTTTTCTAGGCCAACACTGAATGAGGAAACTACTTGAAGAGAAAAGAAAGATGTGCAAACAAATAGGCAACTAGTCGTTTTAGTTAAACACCTGTTCACTTTTGGTATCCAGAAATGAGATGAACTCTTGCATGTATTCCGGAGCTTCATCCTTCAGCTCGCCGGCAACAAATCTTCAAAAAACTCATGTGATTTGGTACACGTACATCCATATCGTAGTCTACCAAAGAGCTTTGGTTACAGCTTTAATATGCGATTTGGCTACCACACTATTCAATTACAGCTAGCATGATGTGGGTTGGAGAAGAACAGTTTGCGATGCACTTTACTTCCAAAAATTCTACAATGTCCCTTACACCTACAAATCTTCGGCCTCTTCAAAAGCACCAGGATTTCCACCCACAACAATAAACTATGAAGAAAAGATACGCTTTGAATGAAGTATCGCCTGGATATGTATCCGTTCTCACATTAGCTTACACGAGATCGATCACGTTCCTATCAACCTCGTGCAAGCTTAACAAAGAAAGAATACCAGTTGATTAGTCATACCGAGCTTAAAGGAAAGTCGGATTTGAAATCTCATCTGTACGTTTTATGGGCTTGAGAAATTCCGATTCCTGATTCTCTGAGGTAATTCGTGATTTTCCATCAAATTAACGATAATCTGTGGTTAAACGGAGCGCGCGTAACGCAGTATTTAGAGGCGCGCTGCAATACGCATGAGATCCCTTCCCGATCCCCAGGCACCACGCCTACCATCCCTCCGGGGTCGCAAATTAGTACCAGACCTATCTGGAAGGATTGCAACAATGGTTTGATATATCGGCAGGCTACCGCGAGTTGTTGTAAAAGCCGGATATCCATTCAGTCACCTCTAACGATGCTTCATGAAGCCGAATGCATGGCACATCCCTCAGGGATTGATCAACGCCCAGAGACTTACCCTTTTATCCTTTTACGTGGTTAAAGCAAGCCATCTTACTTGAACAGCTCTTTGGCAGTCTTCATGCGCTTCTCGTCGTTCTTCGTCTTCAAACCGGCGAGAAAAGCACCGGCAGCGGCTCGGGCACTCGCGTCCCGCGATTTATCACGCTCCGATGAATCCATTTCTTAAGGTTACCAAATAACTTTATTCATCTACTGCGACAATAAAGAACTTCCGCTATGACGATAGAGCAAATCTCAGTGCTACCAAGCACGAAGAAGGTACTTGAAGAGAAAACCTCGAGATGAATCATGACAAAACATCCCTAATATCTTGGAAACAGAACGACACACGATGAAGTCCCCAACGGTTGCACGTATTTTCAAAAGCGGAGGAATTTGCTCTTTATTCCAGAAACACATCAGAACATCGGGATCAAATTAGAGGAACGAAGACATCAGCACTGAAACCGGCACTCGGCCCACGACGGAGTCGCCGACCCTCCGAGTTGAACAGGAGCAATTTCCGCGTACTGCGGACTTTCTTCTTTTTTGACAATGAAAAATAATTTTACAATTACTAGAGCCCTTTAGGGGTCGTGGACATCACAGAATTGTTGAGGAGACTTTACGTTATCGTCCCATGGAGATGAATGGCGTGACTGTTGCTGTTTACTACGTGCTACTATTGTCCATTATTCAAATGCGTTGTGGTCAACACCTGGGAGTATTTTGGACCCTGTATCGAGTTTCTTCCGGTGTTTTTCATATCTGTACATTCTGTACAATTATCTGAGGAATAAAAAATGGAATAGAAAAATAAAGGTTAAAGCTCTCGGCGTTGACCAATCCCTGAAGTATGCCCCATGCATTCGACTTCATTAACCCTCGTTTGGAGGTGAGTGAATGTTCATCTGACCCATACGATGACTTGCGGTAGCCTACCGATGTATCGAGCCAGTGCCGCTATCCTCCCAAACAAGTCTCGTACTAATTTGCGACCTCTGAGAGATGGAAGGCTTGATGAGCCAGCGGCGCAGGAATCGACCCTACGCGTATTTCAAGGCGCCTCCGACCACTGAGCTACACACGCCCTTAAAAAACGGAGTATGGGTTGTTTGTTGGTCAACCTACCGATCGATGGATTTTTTGGAAGCATAGGTTTTCCGTAAATCATTAAGTGTAGAGAATGGTTATTCTTCTTCATCCTAATATTTTGATCTACTTTCAATTAAATATTTGATGAATACGAACAGTATGGTGAAAAAAGTCCTCGTTTTTTCTTCTGGTTCCAAAAGAGATTAGTGGAGTTCAATAGGGTTCATACGTGCCACCCTTCTGGATTCTAACTTGCGGCAAACGACAAGTACTGAGGTACAAACAGGTTCTGCAACAACAAAACGCCTGTTGAACTCGTTTGTCATGAAATCCACGACGGAAACCCGTGAATCTGGCAAGGATGTGTCTTCTGATGAGTTCGTCGTTGTGTACAGAAAGATCACATTGCGGCAATACCTGGTATGGATACGAGGTCACGGCATCCAAGTTGTGCACCAAATCCGGCTACAAGCTTAGGATCATAGCATATGTAACAGAATTGCATACTGGATGCTGATGAAGCTCTTGGGTTGGGTTAGATTGACTGTTGGGACCATGTAAGCGACACTGGCTAATTAGTGCCTCCTTGGCTAGGAGAGTGTTCCAAAGCAGCACACATCTGATGTGCACATGTGAGTAGCACTCCACAAGCACGTTGTGCACTAGAAGTTGTGGAGAGGATAACTGAAATAGAATTGGAAGGCCACATTACAGCAACAAGATGGAGTCCAGTTCTTATTTCAGAGTAGATCGCAAGCGGTGTAACAAGTTTTCGTTCTCTACGTCTTAAGTACATGCCACTTCACCTCTCAATTGCTTTGTGATCCGTACGCAGTTATAAGTCGTGAAAATGGCAGATTGTATGTGGAATCTATAAATCCTAACCGCATGTAAAAAGCCTCTCGGTTTACCGTCTCGTCGTGGCAGGCAACTCAAGGAAGCCACCGACACCCGCCGCTCTGAGCAGAGGCGTGGGCTATAGGATAGTACAAGATAGGACACTTCAGGAGGTCTCCTGGATGTTAGGGAAAACCCACCGAATGGACTTTCATATATGTTATTCATTATTAACATTTGATTGACGTCCGTAGAATTAGACAGCCATCTTGAAAGGCTAAGGAATTTCTTCATTTTTTTCATTGCCTTAAACCCATAGAAGCCGTTCACCCACTATAAAAAGTCGGCTCTAAGCACCTGAAATGTTCTATCCGCATTTACATGCTGAAATAATTGCTTATTGAACTAATTTTTCTTGGGACCACGAGGTAGCAGTACTACTACTTTCCCGGATGATCATCACAGACAGCAGTTAGCCTCTTTGAATATCGGTTCCCCTCCGAAAAACTACCGGAAGAATTCAATGCACCAGCTACATAAGCATTCTCTTATCAATCAGAACTTAAGAACAGGATAAAAGAAGGCACAACACAATCAGATGAGTATAAAAACATTTATTCCAGGAATACAGCAAAACCACATAATCGCTTCCCATACGCAACCTACAATGGACATTTAACAATCGGAAAATAGCAGAACGTCCTACGCTTAAATAAGGATGTACTTCTTATTCAGCAATGCTTTTAGAAGCGTAATCATCAAAAATCATTCAAAGTTCATTGACGGCTAAATACAGTCTCTTCAATTCCAGCCGTACTTCGACTCTATAGAATTGCACCGTTGACCAACCTATAGTGATAAAAGATGATCTCAGGATCTTAGAAACATGTAGGGTATCATTATCAAAGTACGGAACTCATAGACAACATAGGCAACCTTTTCAGTGACGGGATAAACGATATGTTAAGGAGTTCCAAAGATGACTATTATGAATGGTTTTGCTCTATTCGTGAGTC